GGCGAATAATTAATTTGACTATGAGGTCAAAATTTAGGGAAATAGCTACAAAATTAAATTTATTATTTAGAAATCGTATTTTCAATGATAATATAAACTATATGTAAAAATTGTGATAGATATATTTAAAATTGCATAAAATACAATTTGTTCTTATAATCTCCTACATAAAATTAATAATTTTCGAGTTTTTGACAAAGTTCAAATTTAGCGCTCTTTTGTAGGGTAAAATCCTCCATAGGGCGCCTAACTTAAATTGCCTTGCAAAACGAAGCAAAATTATGCAAAATTTTGGATTTTGAGATAGATGTATTCAAAATTTCATAAGCTATAATTCAGTCTTATAAATCTCCTGTGTAAAATCAATAACTTTCGAGTTTTTTGACAAAGTTCAAATTTAGCGCTCTTTTCTGGGGTAAAATCCTCAATAGGGCAACTTAGGTTGACCTTCAAAACGACGCAAAATGTTGGATTTTGTAAAAAATCTTGAAAATCACAAATTTTATAGAGTAGATTTGTAAGAACAAGTTTTAATTTATAGAATTTTTAATAATTTTGCGTTTAAAATTTTTCAACATATTAAAAAGATCAAAAAATAAAAATATTTTATTACAGCCAAACTTTGACCTTTGGTGAAATATTACCAAGTATTAAAACTCCGTTAGAAATATTTTCCAAAAACCGGACCAAAACGCGTCTTATGCAAGAAACCGTATTATGCGGGATAGAGACAAAATATTTCTCCTTGCAGGAACTTATGTATTATGCGAGAAATTGTATGAATTATTGTCGTCTTAATGAAATTCTACTGTATTTCTTTTTTATTAGATGCTTAATGTTTCTTTTAACAAAATGTGTGTAGTGATATTACGTGTTGAGCTTTCTTTAAGAATATAATTATTATTATTATTATTACAAATTATCAAGTTCTTGTTTGTTTAAAAAATCAAGTCTGGAACAAAACGCGTTCACGGAAGTCTTTAGCGTTTTCTTTTGTTCTCTTAATATGTTCCAAGAAGGTCTTTTTCATTTTTACATAATTGTTTAAACAATTACAGGTAATTTGTTATTGTCGTTTTAATTTATAACGTTTAAAGGTACATATCTTTATGTACATATATAGCTATATATGTATATATTATATATACATATATAGGTATGGTGAGGCACAAAGATCGAATTCAAGCAATTATTTTGTGAAAACAAACCCAATTATATCACAACAAATACCACACATCAAACAAATAAGTTTCTGACTATGTTTAGTAAAACTCCAAGCTAATTTATCATTGTAGAAATGTGTTTTTTGCTTGTTTTGTGACCTGGTCCTTTTTACCCCATACGCCAGAGGCAAATATGTGCAACGTCTTATTTTTAATTTAAAATGGATTTTACGAAATAATAGCTACATTATTCAACCAATGCAAATTATAAATTTCATGGATACATTTTTGACAGCGATAACAATGTATACAACCTTGATCTGGCATTTTATCAGAAATATTCATATAATTATAAATTACAAATACTAAATGTAACGAGTTTCCCCACAAATACTTGATATTCACAATTATAAGATAATAGTATGTACATAGAAATACTATATATACAGTGGTGTTGTGCTAATATTTTTTTTGCCGGAACGCTAAAATTTAAAATCCGGTTCATAAACCGGTTCAAAAAATTTGATATATTTCGATAAGAACTCACAAATCTAATATATTGACTTTTTATATAATTAACTCTATTATACACAGCTAGTCTATACATTAAATTGTACAAGTATGAGGGAATCATTGAGTACATAATTTATATTCTTCAATGACATTAATCATATTTATTCTGGTATTATTTGTATTCATTAATACCTACAGGTATTTATTATGATATAAAAGTACTCAAGATTTATTACAATACTTTATAAGACTTAACCTAATAATATGATAGATAACCTATTACCTATCATACTATATTATATTATTGCATATCATCGATAAATATCTATTATCTATCATACCGTGAGATATCTATACCGTCATTAACTTATTATATACCCTACATACCTTTTACTTCTTATAAATACTACTGTCTAATTTATATATTCTATTAATAATATGATAGATAACCTATTACCTATCATACTATACTATATTATTGTATATCATATATAGATATCTATTATCTATCATACCGTGAGATACCTATACTGTCATTAACTTATTATATACCCTACATACCTTTTACTTCTTATAAATACTACTGTCTAATTTATATATTCTATTAATAATATGATAGATAACCTATTACCTATCATACTATACTATATTATTGTATATCATATATAGATATCTATTATCTATCATACCGTGAGATAGCTATACCGTCATTAACTTATTATATACCCTACATACCTTTTACTTCTTATAAATACTACTGTCTAATTTATATATTCACCTATATTATATAGGTTTACCTTACGCTCTATGTATTATCTCTACCTACCTATTGTCTATACCGGGAATTGAACCCGGGACCTCCGCGTGGAAGTCGCGCACCTTAACCACTACCCTACCGGATACCCCCACTAATAATATAATATGGGACGCACTGTTGTTTCCGCGGGTCATTTTCTAATTAATTAGGTAATTAATACTAAGGTGGCGCGACGACACGCGAAAAAAGACGGTTGATTGTAGCGTTACGGTGGTGTAGTGGATAAGGTCGTCGCGTGCCACGCGGCGGACCCGGGTTCGAATCTCGGTAGGGTTAATGTAGCGTGTAAGGGAAATTATAGGTAATAGGATATATAGTAGATATAGGTTAGGTGTATTCGGTATACAATGTAGGGATTTGAGAGTATATAATGAAATATAGCGTATGGTACAGATGTAAGGCGTGTAGTATAAAATGCAACGTATAGGCACACGTAAGGCTATAAAAATACATGAATAGGAACCTATCATGTAGATGTTAGCGTATAAGAAATGCGAATGAATGTAAGATTTAATTTATAAATATTATTTTTTCTATAAGAAGTTCATACACCTCAATTTGTTACTAAATTAAAAACGACTTTGATAAAACCAGTGGTTTTGTGCTAATATTTTTTTGCCGGAACGCTAAAATTTAAAAACCGGTTCTAAAACCGGTTTTCATGTTTTTCCAGTTCCGTTCAAAAAGGAAAGAAACAAAAATTATTACAAAACTCATTTTGTGCACATATATGTATGTTTATTACAATAATAACATTTAATAAAAATTAGTTGAATAATAACTTATAAAATTTACTTATTAAATCATTTTCTGTATGTAGCGATGTTTTTATATTTTTTCTTGCCGGAACGCGTTCCGGCTCAAAAATGATTTGCCGGAACGACGTTCCGGCGCGTTCCGGCTCGACAACACCACTGTATATATATATCAACAAATTGAAGAAGAAAATTTTAGAAATTAGTTTCTAAGAAAGAAAGTTTCTAAGAAAGAAAGAATGTTGATACTCCAGAATGTTATAATTTTAATATGTTATACTGTGATGTGTGTACTATAGTTGCAAATATTAAAATTACTAGGTTGCCTTACATTTTTTTCAGATCTTCAAAATGTTGTAAGCAAAACGTATATTCGACATGAATTAAAGTTTTAGATTTTATTGAAGTTCAATTTACGTTGTAATTTTATTACGTTATACTTTAATATAGCTACTATTACTGCAGATACTAAAATTGATATGTCTTTTCCAAAAATATTGAGACATTAACAATTTTCTAAGAATATACTTAGAATTAGAAGAAATCGTAAGGGCAAGGTAAATCAGAGCACATGGATTGTTCTACAATGATATAACTTTTATTTGTTATATTTTGATATGTCTATTAGCATAACAAATACTAAAATTGATGCATTTATCCCACAAATATTTGAGATATTTGATATAATCTGAGAAAAGTACTATGACCTTTTAGAAAAAAAAATGGATAGATTTCAAAAACAATGTTCAAATAAATGTTAAAAATGTTTATATTTATTCTAGAATGTTGCAAATATAATATATTAAAGTTGAATGTATCTATTATAAAAATAAATAATAAAATTAATGTGTCTTCTCACAAATATTTCTATAATCCAATAATATAAGTACCTCAATAAATTGGATAAATTGTAAAAAGAATGTTCAAATAATGGTTAAAAAATTTTTTATTCATTCTAGAATGATGCAAATGTAATATATTATAGTTGAATATGTCTACTATAACAATAAATACTAAAATTGATATGTCTTCCCACAAAACTTTGAGATAAATGGATATATAGGAAAAATCCTTGTTCAAATATTTTTTTAAAAAAATTCTATTTACTTTCTCACAAAATCTCGAGTTATAAACAATTATCTAATAAAAAGACCCATTTATCATTTTTTAGAACTAATTGACCTATAAGCTGTTTGTTACAACCTCAACTTAATGTTTCACGCAAAGCAACCTATTGGTTAACCATTCTCCTATGTGTGGCAATTATTTTAGATCAGATATATATCTAACAATTGTATGTGTATGTTACAGCAATATCCCCGAAATGATTTTTTCACTTGAAATCATATGTTCGGATGTATTTTCGTTTTATTATATTGTCCATGAAGGTGACAATCTTCATGGTATTGAGCTTTTACACGGAATGGTTGCTATCCCTGATAGAGGGGGTAGCTCAGTTTTTAATGGGACTAAAAAGAAAAGTCCGCGAAACAACATCGTATTTGAAATCTACGATCTCAAGTTAAAAAATCGAGTATCATACTGCTCGATATCGAGCAGGCCGAGATTGAAATCGAACACGGGTCTTTTAAATATTTATATTATGATTCGTAATGGAATCTTGCAAATTTTTTAAATGTATATTTGGGTTTGCCCAGAGCACAAAAAGCATGTGATAAAAATTAATATATAAATACTCATATACATATATATATATATATATATATATATATATATAAAATACAAACTTACCTTAATAATATTGTCAACTGCAAATCATGACCCAATCTTTCCAGAGCTGAAGTCCCTTCGACACGTACACAATTAATTTTTTCCCTTAAAGTCCTACTAGTAGCTACTGCCGAATGTCGTTCCCTTAAAATTTCTAAAATATTTGGTTGCCTTAGAAAAGCTACTACCTGAAAATAGAAAAAAAGCAGTCACAGATTAGTAGATAGTAAAAATAATAATAAAAGAAACTTGTTACATATATATTATGATTTAAAAAGTAATAAGTAACCTGGCAGTTATTATTTACACACACACACATATATATATATATATATATATATCTATATGTATATTCATTTATATATTTACCTTATCATTATAAGCAATAGGAATTTCAATATGCTGAGCATTAAGCCGAGGAGAACTTGGAGGTCTTGGAGGTACAACAGGAGCCTGAAATGAAAAATATTTAAATTAATTTATATATATATATATATATATATATATATATATATATATATATATATTTATATTATATATATATGTATATATATCTTATATAATTACATTTTCATTATCCTGTCTTCCCTGACGATTCCTTATAGGACTTTCCAAAGGTATCCTGGGATCCATAAAAGTTGTTCTTCTATTTGTGTGATCAATGAAAAACTCCTAAAAATAAATTAAAAAATCAAATGAATAAAAACACTTATTGTATAAAAAGTGAATTTAAAAACTCTCATTCTCAGATATATTTATTTATATCAATAAAAAATTATATTACACAATTATCACTTCTACTAACCTTTCCATTTCCATCCCTCTTGCTCTCCCATCCAGGTGGCAAATCTCTGGCCCTATCTGCAAAAGCGTTCACCAAAGCCACCAAATCCTTATTATGTTGATACCTGGTGAAACTTAGGCAGTATTTAGCAGCATTTTGAACCAAATGGTTGCCAAGTAAAGACTGCTGCTGATTGGCCAATGACGATGACGCCATTTGGTGAAACTGTGCTTGGCCATTAGATTGGTGGTTCATGGAAAATTGTGGGGAAAATTGAGGATTTGATACTAACTGGTGGTGGTTTGGTGATTGGTTTAAATTTGGTGGCACAAGTTGGTTGATGGATGATGCATCTCGGCGGATTCTGGATACCATGTGTTTTAAGGCTGGGTTGCGGTTGTATAAGGCTAAGGCATCCTGGGAAAAATAAATATGTCAACCTATTATACTAGTTATAGTTCAAAAAGATTACAATACTTACCATACCATGAAAATTTTATGTATTAGATTCATTGTAACTCAGAATATTAGGCCAATTTATGCAAAATTAAATTATCTAATCTATCAATTGAATAATCTATCAACTATTATCATAAAATTAAATTATCTAATCAATTGAATAATCTATCAATGTGTCTAATATTATAAAAATCTACAACAACTGGTATCTTTTAAAGTCTTTACCTGATTTGTGTGCAACAATGAGTAAAAATCAGGTCTTATGAGCAAAGTCAATGCTGGCAAAGGTGCTGTCTGTTGTTGTTGTGGATTGGAATGTTGATTTTGTTGACTAGAAATTTGCTGCTGACTCTCTATGTTTCCTGAACAATTTGGAGGTATTTGTTGTGATGGACTAGCATGTCTCGCTTGAGCAATTGTTCTCCTAATACTTTGATATCTAAAAACAAGAAGCATAGATCAATTTTATTATATATTATTATTAATATTTATTTATAATTTACCTTCTGTCCAGCTGTTGTCTGTGCCTATCAGGTAAATCATTAACACCAGCCATGGCAGACATGGAAGATGATGAAGAATTTCCTGAAACTTGAGGTCTTTGCCAAGAGGTTGTCCTAGAAGCATGATCTATGTAGAAAACTCTTCCATGACTGTCCATTCTTGCTTCCCAAGCTAAAAGTAATAAATAAATAATTATTGATAAACTAAATCTATACATTATTAAAAAAAATAAAAATATGTCATTGATTATCTTAATTATTTATACAAGACAAAATGCCACTTATACCAAGTTTGTATTATTATTATTACTGAAACAATTACTATTTGCTAATCAGGTTTGTCTGTAAAGTTATTTATTTATAAAAAAGTATATTAATTTTATACTTGGTGGCAATGGTTCTTCATTATTGATCTCCTGGTTGTTGACAACAACATTTCTGCTGCTTCTTTCTGGTATTGATGGTAATCTTGTTGATGAAAGGTGTCTGAGTTGAGGAATCATTGAGAAGTCTGGGAGTACTGTTGAAGAATCATCTAGAAAAATAAAAATTAGATAAATATATATATATATATATATATATATAAAAAATATTAATTTATATTATTACCATTATTTGAAGAATTAACATCAGTAGTTCCATCAGGACAATCTGTATCAGTCCTGATTTCTGACGTCCTCAATTCCATTTGTCGAATGTTATACCTGCAATTATTTATTACATCTTTTGTAATTTTTAAACTATAAGCTTAATTTGCACAAAATATTTGACAAGTTTGCACAGCATAAAATCATCTACAATATTGTCTAACACCATGAAGCCATAAAACAACTCAAAATACTCTAAAATCATAATAGAAAACAATACCTAGTGTGGTTCAAAGGCCTGATATCAGCAACACGAATTTCAGGACTTGGTACTTGTTCTGGTTCCAAAGGATAAGAACCTAAAAATATAAATAAATAAATAAATATATGTATATGTATATAAATTGTTTCTATTATTTACCAATTTCTGGCCTATTTTGTTTTGGCCTTCTTGCATGGTGTGTTGGAGTTGGTGGACAAATAGGGTTCAATAGATCCTCTTGGACTAAATTTTGTTCACGATGATTGCTCCTTGATGAATGTCTTGTTAGAGACTTTGAATGTTGTCTTAGACTTCTACTGGTTGAAGGCTAAAATAGAAAAAGACTCTATATATAAAATAAAACATTGTGTAACAATACATAAGCCTATGCTACAGCAACTCAGTATACTTTAAACAAATTTAAAATGCATTTATTTAAAACTTTTCATACATTTGTTCACTATGTTTTCTGTAACTTGAAAACTCAGACTAAATTTTGGTCTAAAATGATAAATTACCTCTATTTAAAAAAATACAAGATTCGTAAACAAGTTTGTACTTATGCATTTTTAAAAAAAAAGTTCTTGGCCAATATTGATTCAAAAAAATAAAAAATATATCATCAGTGTCCTTTTTTCTTACCATGTTACTGCTGCATTCTCCTCCATCCCTGCTCTCATCCCAAGAATGCATTTTACAAATATTCTTATGCCCAACGTTTTTAATCCCCGGTGAATTAATATTTGCCTGCAGCATCTCCAATATTTCACTAGCATCCAAATTCTGACCATCAGACAACAAAATCAAGGAACTAGTCTTGGCATGTCTTCTACCAGATGTCTGCCTCTGCAAAGGCCTATGAGGCCTCATTTGTACCTCCTCAACTGATCTAACCAAATCCTTAGAACAACCTGGAGGAAGATTGTTGAGATCCAAATTTTCATCCTGGTCCGTTTTTCTGGCCACTGGTATCTTTTTGTTTTTCAGTTGGGGTTTGGTGGTGTTCTTATTGGCCAGGATTGCGTTGTCATTTTCAGTTGACATGTTGAAATTGATGATGTCGTCCGATATTTGGGGTTCGAACTGTTCTAGGACGTAGTTGGACATGTATTCTTTGTAGACGTCGCCAGATGTGCCTCCTAAGGTTTGAAAGAACTGCTCGTCTGTATCTATTATGTCGAAGTTGAAGGATTCCTGGAGAAAAGATATAATTGAGTAAGAACATGATAGTTAAATTTATATATTTACTTATTACTCACCTTAACATGATCATTATGAGTCATATTTCCAGAATTACACCAGTGGCGTGCGGTTTTCTGCCCTTTCAACTTTGGGCGGCACCACAGCACTTTTCGAATTAGGAACTCTTTGTAAAGGCCTATGATTCCTCGATTTTGGCGGCAGAGGAGGAGCACTCGAATTATTTACCTAAAAAACCGAACCATAAATATGTGCATTGAGAAACAAGTTCCTTACCCCATGAGTCTGTCAATTCTTACCGGCGTTGACATAGGTGAGTTATCCGAACTCGCGTCCACCCCTGTCCATAAAGGCGAGTACGTCACTGGCGAGGAATTATTTGGTGTCTCGTCAGTTGCCAATTCGGCAAATTCACCATCGATGTCGTTGGCAACTAAGTTGGTTAATTTCTGTTTACTTTTTTTTATAGAACCACTTTCCTTTGCAGGTGGGGTCTTTCTCCGGGCGCCATTTTGACATTGGACGCCATTTTGAGGCGACGAAAATGAGGGCACTGGTGGTAGCATGGATCCTTGGGCTAATTAACAATAATAATAACAATATAAGAATAATAATAATTAATTTTTAAGGAACTAAGATTAATTACTAATTTTTAAGGATCTAAGAAATACCTTCAAATTCTCCTTTCCTGTAAAGCACTCCCATGTCGTTAACGGATTTGCTGACGCACAAACTTCTATAAATTCGTTCTTTGAATAAATCCTGCTCCGAAATATTTGTCAAATTTAAATTTGCACTGAAAATGCTGTCTACTTCGTCGCAATTATTATTGTTGACACCACTAGTAGAAGGGCATGTTGATACATCTGGTTCACAAACTGCAGGTTGACCTAAAAGTGATAAAAAATAGATATAAAGTATATCATTATCATGCGTTATATCACTATTTAATCCTTTCCACTCGCAAATTCCGGAACTTATATGTATTTTGATGCCGAAGCGGCGGCATCCGAGTTGAAGGGTTAATATTGCCATATATCATTTGCCTTATCACAATGATATTCTAATGTAATCAAATCACCTGGTTTAGGATCCAAGTGGCTTTCAGTAACCATATCTTGACTATCTCCTTCACCATTCGTTATATCACCATTAGAACATGTTATATCTGGTCCTAAACTTGATGCATTTTGTATTGAAGATATAATAGTACTTGAAGCACACATTGCAACATCCAAATCATCAGCACCAGGTGTCCTATCACGATCTAATGTGGTTAAATCGGTATTAGAACTTGTTATATCAACTTGCTCAATCAAACCATGTCCATTATAGTCTAATCCAATTGTTACATCATGATCTATCATACTAGAAGTTACATCTAAACTACTATCATCATCTTGAACACTTTGGGAATGTGCAGCGTTGGTTTCTAATTTATTTATATCACTTGTTATATCGTCTAGGTCTAATTTATTTATATCTATTTCGGAATGTGTTATATCACTTTCGCATATGGCTAATTGTTGATTTGGTTCTTGAGTTTGTTCTAGATTTGTAATATCACTTTGGGTTGGTGTCGTATGGTTCAGAATTCCGTATTCTAGGTTTGTTATATCTTGTTCTAGGCGTGATATATCGCGTTCTAGGATGGCTTCGACGTGTTCTGGAAAATAGATACATGTTTTATATTGCGTAGTTTGAACCCTGGTACCAGCATAAATTTAATTCAATTAGACGAGACAATTTAGGAGTTAAGAAAAAAATGCTCAACCACAAAAC